ATTTTTGGTAAAAAGAAAATACAGTTCTAAAGCTGGAGCTGAAACTAAAAGTGATATTATGAAGCAAGAACACAAAATCATATCAATCAGTTTTATTAACTGCAGAGAGAAACTAAATGAAATTTGGGAAAGGATGCATAATCATATATTTTTTATTTGTTTGAAAGGAAAAAGTGTTGGTAAAATATCTAGGAAAATTATAATTTTGAATTAATCTGAAATCTAAACCTGCTGTATTGAAGCTGACTATACATACTTACAATCTCAAATGGATACATTTTTAAAGTGTCTTTATAAAGCAGGCAAGGTCTCTCTTCCCTCTGTATCAAGTTAAAGTAGTCACCTGGAATGCTTTGTCATAAGCATAAAGTCATGCTCACATACTTCAATGTGCTGATCTTGTGCTCAGGAGTGTGACAGGAGTTTATGGTGGGTGCAACGCATGCCAGAGGAATAATGTGCTGTGCAGACCCCAAGTAATATGGTACTTTCATTTTTCTCATGCTTTTTGTGCTTTTTGTTCAGTCCTAAATGATGTATTTAAGTGCAGCAAGCTCTTGTGTGAACAAACCTTAGGAGCAGACCTCATAAATAATGGCAGAAACACATATACTTATATGGAAATCTGAAGGGTAGTGGGGTGCTGTGCAGGTGCAGATTGGCATCTTGACATCATCAGGCCTTGGTAGGCTCACCACTGTTCAGGCCTGCCTGCCTCCTACACAGTGGGACAGCTAAATGAGCCATCCTTTAAAATTTTCCAAAACATCTTGGAAAGCTAGACATAGTGTTGTTCCAGGGCAGGGCTGCACAACCATGGCCCTCAGCTGGCGAGAACAGGAAGGCTAATCTGGCATGAGGGTTGATGAAGGAAGGAAGCTAGCTTGAGCACAAGTTGAAACATGGTAGGTCAGGCAATCTTCTCTGCATGCTGCTTGTTGATACTCACCTTTCTCCACCTTGGTTCTTCCATTTTCCCTCACCCACCTCACTGATTTATTTTTTTTTCCTCTTTTTGCCTTCCATATTGCTCTCTTAAAAAGAAAAGTTGAGGTATAAGTTGAGCTAGTATACTTTGATTGAGAGAGTGGGAGACTGCTCTTTTTCTTAACCTTGCTCAGTCACAGACTTTCTTTGCTGTCTAGTGCCTTTTCAGTAGAGTGTCTTTAAATCCTAATTGATATTCAGATAGTGACAACTGTGAGAAGCAAGCACTATCCATGGAATGTCTCTTGTCTGGACCTAGCCAGACACAGATTATGCTCCCCTTCTAACATAAATGGGAAAGGAGAAGTAGGGCTCAGTGTTGAACTTCATTAACCCCAAAGGAAATGAATTGCCATTGATGTGTTTGTACATTCTCTGTGACTGATCAAAGTAGTGCAAAGAAAGAAGCGGTGGAGGAGTAGTTTTACCAAGGGAACTTTGAAGGTCAAGTATCTTTAACTGACTGCTGAATGCTGTTGTTTAGACAGCTAGATTCACTGTAAATACCTGAGTGTCCTTTAAGCAATATCCCAACTACATGGGAGTTATTTATCTGTGAACATTTGCATGATCCATATTATCCTTCTAATCTAAGGGAGAACATCTAAAGAACTTATATATTAGAGAGTGACAAGCATAAGAATGTTAACTCTAAAATTTAACGATAAGGTTTGAGAGTAAAATGAATAGTCTACTTTTAAACAATAAGGGTTTGTGAACCTTAAAAGAATATGTCTGGGCCGTACCTCAAGTAAAGAAAGGGGTCTTACGGAGACATCTAAAAATGCACATTCTAATATTCTAGATACCTGTCTGCCATCAGTTGGGAGTGTGTTGCAGAGGGTGGGTGCTGTAAATACTGTATTTTAGTACTCCCAAGGCAAACATCAGGGTGTTATATTCCTCTGAAAAACAGATGTACATTGACATAAATATTTAGCTAATTTGCTTTCATTGACTTGCTGATTATCTGAGGTTCTCTGATTAGATTGTATCAGTATAATTAAAAAAGCTTAACAGATGATAGCCTCATATGCTTAGAGCTGATTTTTTAAAAGGAGACTTCCCCCTCTATAGCTGGATTTACAGTAGGCTGAAAAATATAAATAGCAGTGATCAAGATATAATTTAACAATATCCAATATAAAATAAACATTCTTCATATACATCTCATGATAAATAATGGGTTAGAAGTACATGTTAAGGCTCTTTTCATTTGTAATTTCCAATATAAAGAATGCAAATAGAGGTAGAGAGAGTTAATTTACCTCTTGTTCATCAAAATATGGCATTTTACTGTATGCTTCATTGCCTTTCTTTGTGGTTATAAGTGATAGGCAACTATCTGTGAGAGGACTTTCCTGATGTGAGAAATGGGAACACCCTACTAAAACTGTGATATGGTTATATGAGAGGCATGAAAATAGCTGTGTTGAGATGCAGGATTAGTTAGACAAAAGCCATGAAATCTAATAAATTAGATTATGGCCAGGCGAGGACCTTTTTATTTAAGCAGCATTTTAAATGTTAATACTATTGAATTTTATCTGGCCAGGGCAGCTTATTTTATATTGTGTGTGTATATATACATATATATATATATTAAATTATTATTATTATTATTTTAATGTGTATATTTTAATTTATGTGGTTTTAATTTATTGTTGTAAGCTGCCCCGAGGCTTCGGCGAATGGGGCGGCATAAAAATGTTTTAATAATAAAAATAAATAAATAAATATAGCAGGGTGAATAAGCTGTTATTTCTGCCGATTTCTGTTATGAATAAGTGAAAAATCAACCTTGTATTTTTACCTGCTACAAGTGCAACATGTGAACCTCTGGCTTGGGTCTCCCCCAGTAAACCAAAGAAGTAATTCGTGATTTTTCTGGCTTGTTGAAGGAAAGACAAGCCAGAGATCCAGGTTTGCACATCATGCTGTATTATTGTTGTGATATATATGTATATCTCAAATTTAAATCATGGATCTAAAGCCCATGTTTAGCCAAATGGCAGCACTTGCAAGTACACTGCAGTAAATGGTAAGCCAAGATTCTAGAGCAGTGGTGGCGAACCTATGGCACGCGTGCTGCAGCTGGCACACAGAGTCCTCTCAGTCGGCACGCGAGCCAAGTTGCCCCAGCATCGCCCCAGCAGCCGAGCACCGGATAACAGTGCACATAGGGGCCATGCACATGCTCGGAAGGGAGTAGTGGCGCCAGACGATGACGTCACAAGCTGCAACTCATTACCCATGACTCATCCGAGAAGTTGCATGGCTGGTCAGTGCACTGCCAAGGATATATATGTATTTGCTTGGACTGGCTGTGAGTTTTAATAGATTCATTTTTATTAAAAAAGATTTTAGCTTTGAGTATTCTTATGAAAAAATTAAATTTAATATCAAAGATTTAGCAAAGAAATGTTCTAATTAAGAGACTGAGATTCTTTTAATGTTGTGCTGTCCCCCTGGCATATTTGAATCTGCAGCATCGTCTTTAGTTGTTTTTTCTAAACTAAAACCTCAGTTTTCAGGTTTTATTGCAGTGTTGGCACTTTGTGATAAATAAGTGGGTTTTGGGTTGCAGTTTGGGCACTCGGTCTCGAAAAGGTTCGCCATCATTGTTCTAGAGTAACCAAACTTGAAGACTCAGTATGACATCCAAACACTCCCTGCATGTGATTACAAAGAATAACAATGACAGCACATAAACTGTTTGGCTTAGATACATGAGTAAATCTATATGGATATAAACCAATAAAAAGAATAAAAAAGGTTGCTTGCAGGTGTGAAAATGTTGACTTTCAAGTACCTAATCATATTTATGGTTCATATAAACTAGGAAGAAGAACAAAATAAGATAAATATGTTCCCTTAGGGCTTTTACACTCTTTAGGGAAGGGATAGGTTAAAGTAATAAAGGTAGTTGCTTGAAAAATGAGAATGTTGCACTTTTTGTTAGGACAGATTTACAATCGAGGAAAAACATAAGGAATTATTTTGGAATAATCCCTCGTGTTTCATTTGTATCCCATTGTTTATCATTCTAGTGAGCTTAGAGCAGTTCCTGGACAATCTTTTACCCTGGTACTGACCTCTCCAAAGGCTCTTAGCTCCAGAAAGGGATAAATTTCCCTGAGATTAGACAAATGAATTGGCTTTGTAATCTTCTGCTTAATAGGAAAGGGAAAAAAAGATCAATGTTCCTAACTAGACAAATGTTTAACACCTGCTTGTTTTACTAATTTTGAGTGCTAACTTGAACTGATGTAATGTTTAGAATTAATTTTCAGAACTGTTGCAGTTCTGTAGCATGTGGAATTTACATATCCATGCAGTAATATTCACTCATACATTACTTGATTTGTTTTTTCAGTGTATCCTAAGAAATGCAAATTGCTTGTTCCTGAAATATCTGTTTAGTTATATGAAGTAAAATCTGCCTGTAGTTTACTACAACATAGATGTAAGGCATACGGATGTGAGAATTGCCTTCCTGGATCAGAACCAAGTTCTGTCTTGTCCAGAATACTGTCAGCAACAAAAGTTCTCCAGATGTTCTTGGAAACATAAAAGCAGAGCAAGATGGCAGTAGCCATCCTCCTGTTTGTTTTAGAACCTGGTGATCAAAACTGTACTACTTTTGAATAGCTTCTACTGGGTATGGATCTTGATGGCCATATGGTACCTTCAACATCAGGAGCAATATGCCTGTGTATATCGGTTGCTGGGCAATGTGTGGGAGGATGCTGTTGTACTCAGGTACTGCATGTGGGATTCCAGGGCAGCTACTTGGTCACTGTGTGAACAGAATGTTGAATTAGATGAGTCCTCGGCCTGATCCAGATGACTGGTTTTGTGTTCTCTATCTTGCGGAAATGAATATGATCGGTCAATTGTGTGTTTCAGATTTTAGGACTCTCAAAGTGGCACAGTTCAACAAATATTCAAAGTATCCTTTGAAATTGTCACCGTTACTCACAGTCTTTTTTTTTTAATATATATTTAAACAGGAAGAGTGTTTCTTGAATCTGGAGGCTCCTATTTCAAGAGTATGTGGTTATGACACTCCATTTCCTCACATCTTTGAGCCATTCTATATCCCAGACAAATGGAAATGTTATGATGCCCTTCGGAAAATGATCAACTATTAATCGTGTAGGTGAGAAAAAGAGTCTGTCTAGATAGTTTGGAGCAAGCTTATAAAATGTTAAGATTAAATTCTGTCATCTTCTAAAACCAAAGATCAGTTATGATTGATCCTAAACAAGCTTTCTAAGAGATAAGACTCATTGAACATAGCAGGACTTACTGTTAAGTAAACATGCCTAATATTGTGTAGCCTATTCAACAGAGTATCAGATATGCCTTAATTTAACATCCAGATGGAGGAAAACAATGGCAAGCCACTATGGATGAGATTTTGGTTGTGAATTAGAACAAGAATTGTACTTACTTTAATTTAGAAAATATTCTAAATCTATGCAAAAGGCCTCACTGTCTCACTTGTCTCTCCGAGTCATTTCTGTGTAGGTATCTTCATGTTTTTGACCATCGGGGAATTTTGTTCCGATTGCTCTGCTAATTGAAACACCAAATTCTCTCTTACTACAATATTAAGTGTGTAGTAAGTAATATATTTCCCCTTTTATCATTACCATTTTCAAATCACATTGAAATCGATATTTTTATTTAAAAACTTTCTTGATACTCAATGTCAGTCCACAATTATTCTTATCTTTTATTATGTCAATGCACTTTTATCTTTTACTTACTTATTAGGTTTATATCCCAACCTATTAGCCAGAAAGGCTCTCTTTACTAAACAAAAAAATACTACATAGCTGCAAAAATAAACTGTGTATATGGTATCTTGGTATGGTGCTGACTTTTTGTCAGCTGGATTCAACTGGGATGAGCAGCTTTTCTTATTTTTCACTTGTGGGAACAATATGCCTACATGACTCTGATTCTTTCCTTTTCATATCCAAAGCATAGCATTGCAGCTATAACTTAAAATTCTCCTTTGAAATAATCCAGTGTAGGGAACAAATCGTATTTACCATCTGCTGCTGTTGTACTGAGGAAAAACTGTAGTTGTGAGTTTTCTCTCCTGGAAATGCAAGAGATGATTTTAATCCTTAGCAAATGGTCTGTATAGACCTATGTAGAATGAAATATAATTTGCCAGATGCTGTGCAGATCTATTAAGCACGATTTATTTTTAAATTAGAAAAGTTGCCAGAAATTAATATCTATATTTTTTAATCCATGCCAGTTCTTTCATTGTGAACTGGACAACTTCTCCAGTTTTTATTACATATTGATACTCATCCATTTATCTTACTGATATAACCATGAAAACTATTATTCACCCTGCCTTTTTTTAACATTTACTCAGGACAGTATACTTGGAGCTATCATTTTTAATTCTCAAAGGAACCCATGAAATTGGTTAGGTTAAAAGAAGGTGACTGGCCTGAAATCAACCAGCAAGCTTCATTGTGAACAGTAGCCTGAATTCTTATCTCGCCAATCCAAGAACAAAATGCTATAAACATTTTTCACACCAGCAATCCATGCAAAATTTTAGATGCCACATGTTAAGTGTACCTAGTTATAAATGTTTTCAGGAAATACTTTTCCTATTTTTATACTTACATGCTTTTTTATAGAGAAATACACCATAACTTGAGGGGCTATTTTGAACATTTCAACCTCTTCAAATGTTTGGAGAACTAGAATAAAACAACTGAAAACTTGTCTGTGTCATACCTGCAGAAATGATCCTAATTCACAGAACTTGGGAACTTGCTATGAGAGTTCTGTAAGCTTCTTTGCTAGGCTTGGGTTCTCCTGAGAAGAACATCTGTAATTGATGCAATCCCTCCATCCATTTTGTGAGCAGGGAAAAATAATATCCATGGCAGTGCAAATTACTGACAAGATTTTGTTTGTTCTGGGAGGAGTGTTTGGGGAACACTTCAGCTGAATTGTGGACTATGTCTTAAAACAGCAGATGAAGTAGTAACTGTGGATCTGGACTGTATCAGTTTAAGCGACTGCAGATGAGAGTTCACTGGATAGAATATTTCTCTGCTAGAAAACCATTTCTACATATAGAAAAATGGTACTTCAGGAGAAAGATTAAGCAACAATCATGCTCTCTATAATTTAACGTTCTATATGCAAGAAATAATGTTTCTGTTACTATTTTGTTCTACCATCTTTGTAAAGGGAGCTTTACAAAGAATGTCATGGCAGATCCCTGCCCAAGCTTTCAATGTAGTTATTGATACGCTGACTGAAGTAAGGGGAATGAAATGGAGACATGATGAAAAGGCGGATCAGCCCATCATGCAGATCCTTCAACAGCCTGAAATGGTGCATTCAGGTTTACTGCTGTATCCAGTTCTGAGAACTAGGTCTGTATTGCATTCTTTGGAATTAGGTACATTTTTCTATTTTTAACAGAATTGGGGATTTTGTTTCAAGAGCAAGATTGTGTCAGTTTGCATGTCGCAACAAGCTACCCTGAAAATAAGCTGATGGTGGTTAGTTGTTCACTTGTTGACCCATGCTTATTTCTGACAACCATCAGCTGCTCTGTGGTTGGTTGTGGCATGCTTGCCTTCCTAGTCCTCCTGTCCATTCCTCCAATGTATTCCGTGGGCCTTTATGGCACCATCTCAGCAGCCTACTCTGCTAGTGCCAATCTGTTCGTTAGCAGAATAGTTTATTTTCTAATACAAAATTTCATCAGCAGAGAGCTTCGTGCAAATGCACTAACTACTGCATTTTCATGAATTTACACAACAAAAGTAAACATTTTAAAAAGTTAAATTTTGCACACCTCCCTGAAGTTTTTTTTTTAAACAATTACATTATTGCAAATGTCCCTAAACGTGAGGGTGTGGGGGAGACCAAGAAGTGGAGGAGTAGATTGACTGGTGGCATTTCGGGATGTAATAGGGGAGATACTATCACTGAATGGTCAGGGAATGAGTGTTTTTTTCCTCTTGCCAGGCAGCTCTGTAACTGAAGACTTGGCATCAGATTTTCATGTCCCAACAAGCACACATGAAAGTGAGCCAGCAATAGGCCATAGAAGTGCAGTTTTCATGATCTCAGGGTAGCTTATTTTGTCCTCTTCTATGTGCCAGCCACAGACTTCCTAATTATAATAATTAGCTTCACCAGGTACAGGCTGCCATGACTTCTAAACCTGGCAAGGGCAAACCTCTGTAAGGTCTGGCGTACTTTACAAATAACCTTGAAATGCTAGAAAAAAATCATGGGTTTCAGAGTATACTACCATAGCACTGGGTTTGGATGACATAATTTGTGATTGGTTAGACGACTATTAGTTGTCTAACCAATCACCAATTATGTCATCCCATTGTGAGATTCTGGCATATGCAACCGCCATTTTGAATATGCAAGCCCTGCTCAGAGAGTGTGGTTTTGTACTATCCCAGTGAGCTGGGATAAGGGAGGATTAAACAACTCATGCATAACCCATAGGCTGTTTTATGGGTTGAATATAAAGTCTATAACCACAAGCATCAACGCTTCTCATAGGTAAATAATTCAAGATGAGCCATCACTTATCAAAACCTTGCTAGTATGTAACTTTGGCTTCTGTTTTGTATAATCATGAATTAAAGTCTTTAAATATTAAAGATAGTCAGTGTTTTGTGAATTGAATGTGAGTACAGGCAGTCCCCAGGTTATAAATGCCTGTTATGAATAACCCATACTTACAAACAAACTTCCATAAAGCGTATTAATCTAAAAAAATTACTTTGGAAAAATATCATCACCAGAGAGGAAACAAAAGAGAGAGGGAAGGTTCCAGAGCATCACCATAAAGAGAGGAAGAGTAAAGGTAGAGAGGGAGTCCTCCAAAGTGCACCTTCTTGCCCTGCCCTTCTGGAGGTGGAAATCTCTTCTTGCTGCAAAGAGGAGGTACTGGTCAGCTTGGGCTGGGGTGGAGGGTAGAGATATTTGTGATTTTTCCACTTGCATGGGGATCATGCGTCCCTAAGCCCTGCAGATGTGATCTGACTTACATACAAATTCTACTCTGTAGTGGTGCCCAGATTATAGAATGCGTTCCTCGGAGAGGTTCGCCTGGTGCCGAGCTTATACTCTTTTCAGCGCCAGGTCAAAACCTTTTTATTTAACCAGTATTTCAAAAACAAGTATTAATGTAAGTCACATTTTATTGCTTTTATTGCTGGATTGTTTTAATGTATGTAATTTTATTGATTGTTTTAATGTTTTGACTGTGAGCCGTCCCGAGATGCCTTGCATGGGGGACAACATACAAAAGTTTTAAATAAATAAATAACTGCGTACAAAAGTTAGAAAGAAAGAAGAGTTTCCATGTTCTCAGGAATGGGACTTGTTTGTAACCCAAGGACTGCCTATATATGAAATAGTGACAAGAGTAGTAAGTTATGCTTTAAGAAATCACAGAAAATGAGGCTCTGGTATGTTTATCTGTTCAGAGTTCATGAACTTTGCAAAGCATTTGAAAAGGTTTGTTATTAAATAATGATTGATGTTCAAAACCAGTATTTGTTTCAAGATGTAGATAAAAAACAATTGTTTCCAAAAGTAATTTCTTTGCTAGGAACTTCTGACAGGAATTCTTGCATGATTACAATATATCATCTGTATGTATGTTTTATCTTGAGGCAGACCCTTTTCTCCCTTCTTTCTTATGCAGAAATATTCACCTCCCTTTGACTTTTCTAGGTTTTGGGTTACAACATGGGGAGTGAAATGGATTTAGTCTGCAATGTTATAACTTGATATTTACATGATATTCAGCACGGTGAAGGTGAAAATGTTTTTATAGTGGCACAAAAGTTAAGTAAACAAGAAGAAATCTGTCACTTGTTGGTTGCATAAGATTCAACCTGATTTCAGATTATTACAGCCTTCTGTGGATGACAACCGTGCCCCCCACCCTGAGTCAATATTTGTTAGAAAACACCTTTAGCAGCAATTGCAAGTCTTCTTGGGTGAGTCTGTATCAGCTTGGCACATCTAGGTTCTGCAATGTTTGCATGTTCTTCCTGGCAAAACTGCCACTCTCGTGTTTCACTATGGGATGGTGTTTTCAGGGCAATGAATATTCTTGACTTTGCAGCC